TCCAAATCGTGCTGGTCAAGCAGGTCTTGCTGGGAGCGCGCAGGCCAAGATCGGCAAAGCTGGTCAAACTGGCCTTGCTGGGAGCACGCGCGACTAAATCGGCTTGGCCTAGGACGAGGTCACTTCCGTCGCTTTGTCCTCTCGTTTTTGGTATGTGACAGGGAGTTTCAGGCGCACTGCCTTTGTATGCGAAAAAAAAGCGGTAGGAACGAAGAATTTGATACATTTTTTGCTAGCGTGAACAGAATTTTGAAGGGACGTCCGTGTGCCCTGCACGAAGACTACTTGGACGGTGGTGCGAGCAAAGCGGGTCTTAAGGAGCCAGCGAGCGGCGGTCCATCGAGCGCTAGAAGAGGTCGGACGTCCCAACTGAGGCGTCACGTCATGTCTTCGAACGTGTGTGTGCTCGTGAATGACGATAAAGCCGAGGAGTATGGCGAATGCGATACTCCTCAGCGAGTATCTCCAGTGCGATCCAAGCTACACGAATTTCCTCGTCTCTACCAACTGCGCAAGAGGCCGCTTCGCTCCCATTACTGGCGGGACCCAGATTCGTTTCTCAGTTGCGTGTATTATTGTTATTGTCATCGACTGTTTTTGCCGAGTTTCTATTATTTTTTGTGTTGAGAGATAAGCAAAGAGTTTTAATAACAATGTTTTTTGTGCCAAAAACGGCTGTCTGTGTGTTGGTTAGTACTGTGTCAGCGCCGAGGAAGGCGTGTAGCATCTGAGCTCATGAGAGCAAGCCGCGAGTATGAAAATAATGAATTGGATGTCGAGACGGCTTTTCTGAAGTGTTTGGCTTATTTATCCTGTGTTATAATTTAATATGGTTAAACTGGTGGTTAAGTCCACCAGCTAAACCAGCGTGAACGGTTCAACCAGCATGCCCAGCATGTCAAACTGGGAATGCTGGGGCAATAACCCAGCTTCAATCTGGGACCAGCTTAAGCTGTTTCTTCAATAGGATGCGCTTATAAAGCAATGGGTATTGTTGAATACCGCAGATCAGAGCCAAGGCAGCAGTCTTGTACGTAGCTTAAATACTCTGCTCAAATTACTGTATCTTAGATACTTTTGTGAGTAACTTAGTATCTCGCAAATACTTTCGAACGTCAGTATTTAGTACTCTAACTTAAATACTTTTTTCAAGTAACTTGTATTTATTTTAAAGGTAATTTTAAGTTACTCTCTATTTTTTATTTTCTTTAGTGACGGGAAGCATGGAAAATATTGAACTGCAGCTATTTTGGCTACTCACTAGCCATTGCAGATACATTTTGTGCCAGGTAATACAGGGCACTTCCGTGCTTCTGCTGAAAGAGGTGACACGGACAAGCAGGTGTCGCAGCCTCAAGCCGAGCGGACATGTGTCGCGTCTTCTAACTGGGCTAAACGTCAAAGCACATTTTCTTAAAATTTGTTTGTGGCCAAGCCCAAGAGCAACAGAGATTCCGAAGCTGAAGGGCATGCGGGTGAAGGCATATGATGCGTACAAGGTTACAAGCCAGAGGGAGGGCACTTGTCTCGGAGAGAGGGAGGGGTCTACAAGTGTCTGGTAAGAGTCGACAGTAAACCGGAGTTTGTATTTCTATGTTATGGAGTGAAAGTATATAAAAAAAAGCTTTCCATCTTCAGAAATGCCTTTGCATCCGCATACAGTCGCACGCACCGGTCGTTCGTTTCACTAGGCTCTCCTCGCACACAAGACTCGTAAGACGCGACTACACGGCTCCAATCCGGCGGCCCACCGTTCGCGGCGTACGCAACATTAGCAAGTTTTAGTAGACCGTGTTTCCCCCTCCGCTAACCGTCCGCTTCGAATGACAACCGCCACTACGCCTGCGTGCCGATGGCCTTTGCTGTAGAGTTCCGGGTAGCGGAAGGGCTTAGCAGAGCGGGAAACGCGGTCTACTAAAACTCGCTTGTCTTCGGTAGCACGAATGACCGCTGGCGCCCACCACGGTGGCGCCTACTCTCCCCTGGCCTGGACTCCCCGACCCCCCGACCGTCAGTGCACGGCACCGCCAGTGCACTGACGGGGGAAGCGGAAATGAACACTTGACAAAAGGGCAGCGTCGGAGGCGAGCATGTGTTTTTCAACCCCCTCCGCAGGCGAACGGACCCCGCGCAACCATCGCCTATGTCCTCGCCATAGCAAGGGTCTAAAAAAAAACATTCTTATTTTTCTTTCAGTCATAGTTACTTGGGATCTCCCAGAAGCCTGAGTGGCAGCTAAAATCTAGGTAAGAGGTTTCCAGGCGGTTCCATAGTAGCTGGGAGGAAGACTTTTCCCTGACTTCGATTGTGCTTGACAATGAATTTCAGAGAAAATTGTAACTTGAGAGTATCTTGAAAGTAACGAGTTACTTTTTTGGAGCATTTTGTACTTTACTCAATTACTTTACAAATTTGAGTATTTAGTACTCTACTCAGTTACTATTTTGCGTGGTACTCAGTAACTTAACTTAAACACTTTTAGTGAGTATCTTGTAGAAGCCTGCAAGGCAGACACCTGCGTGGCTTTGTATTCAAGGCCGCAACTACGCACCGAGGCGCTGAACGGACATGTTGGTTGCTTCTTCCAAAGAAATTCAGCATGCCGCATGTAAACAAACACCAGGTGCACTCACGTTCATTCCGAGGCTTCGCTGATTGGTTCAACCGCCGGGTGACTCAGCGACAAGTCGCAAAAATCGGTCTGGACACAAGTGCTGGCCGCTTTCGCGACTTCCGACCGTCGCGTTTGCGACAAAGGTTGGCGCGACAGCTGCGGCTTTTCAGTATGAACCTGCCTTAAATGCTACTTTCTATGTCATTGCGTTAATTGCCCCCTAAAAGCAGCGCCGCCCCGCGGAAACACGGCGCCAAGCTCCAATCGTACCAAACCTGTTATACTTGGCCGAGCCGTATCTCTCACGCGGCTAATCAACTCTAGTGGCTAAGAAGTAGAAAGGAAGGCGGTGAAAGCGACCGAGACCAAGCTAGAGGGGTAGGACGATCGAGGTCAGTGATATGTAGGTGCGCAGGAACTTCGCTCTTGTCGTCTCATCAGTCCTCGGGCGTCTTGAACGGTTAGGTGGCAACGCGTTGATGTCACCAAGTGCAGAAGCTTATAACCACGTCGGCCACGCAGCCACTGTCCTAAATGACGTCACGAAATCGCCGGATCTGCCGAGACGTATCGCCTCTCCGAGAGCTGCTCGTCGAGCGCTTGCCGGAATCGGCTATTCACAACCATACATGTTGTCATTGGGCCAAAACACATATTTCTTGCCGTAAGTGGTATATTTCTAATTTCATTGCCGTAACTTATTAAATCTGTCTTTGAGGTCACGTCTCCTAGCAGCGTTTGCATCATTTGAATAGCTGGACGGGCACAGCGTGAAGGTTTTCACCTTTTAAATTGGGAGAGGTGAGTATGTCGATGTGGAATTTAGTCATCTAGACGTCACTCTGAAAAAGTAACCGATTACAATTAATCTTGCTTAAAAAGTATTAAATTAGATTATTTCAGACGAAAAGTAATTGACCGTTACTTTAAAGAGTAACCTTTAATTCTACGATTACTAAAATGTTTTAAAACGGCAGAGCTTTCTGCCGGTTTGAAAACAGGTCTTTTGGTGCTGTTTAGAATTCGACTGGGATCGCCGAATTATGAACTACTCATCTTCTTAATTTACCGATTTCGGTAAACGATTTTTTTTTCCGAAATCCCGTTCGACGATTACCTCTTGGGAAATCTGTAGGAGCAAAGGCCGCCATTACAAATGGGAGAAAAAAAAAGTAATGGTTACAAGTAATTTTAGCACTTCTAAAGGTAATAAAATTACCGTTTCGATTACTTTCTAATAAATGTAGTTGAATGATTACGAAACTACTTCATAAAATAATCGATTACAAGTAATTTGATGGCTTGCATTGGGTACCATAAATACTGATTAAAAGCGCGACAGGACAACGAACATAGAAGGAGAGACAGACCATACATGGGTACCATAGATGTCTGCGTAAAAACCCGTCGGGTACCACGAAGCCACCCGTCTTGGCCAACCCGCAATCTCGGTGAGTCAGCTCCAGTCCTCTCTCTCGACGCAGCGCCCGATGCTCATGCGTGCTCTCGGAAGGGGTTTCCAAACTGCTCGCGGAGGCTTCGGCGCCGAAGGTGCGCTGTCTAATGCAAATGAGGCCAAGTAAGGTATGTGGGTTTTGCTTCTTCCGAGGGTGCGTGCAGCACATCATGTACTTTGTACATGGCTGGCAAGGACAACCTTCGGGCAACAAGTAGTCGCCAGTAGGTTCATCATCGTCGTCGAATGCCACCTTCACATATCATCTGGGTTTAAGCCTCAAAAAAGAAAACGGCGTTTCGTATATCTAACAAAAAGCAGCGTAGAATCATGCCTTTGCTGCTTTAGTGGGTAAAAAAAATCAAAATCTAGTTTATTAACACAGCGTCATATAGGAAATTTTGTTATCGCCAGCATGCTTCATATAGGTAGCTAAAAAGACTATTCCTCCCAGAGTGTCATTACTTGCATTAACCATATTTTAAAAATTCCATTTGACATCCCCAGTGTGGTTCCGAAATGTGCTACTATACTTCGTCTCACCCTACGATGGACTAAAGGCAAAAGCTACGGACCACCAGATCCAATCACGAGCTGCTCAGAAATTGTGCGGTATTTCGCTTCGATGCACGTATTGGTGCCCGCGTCTCGGATCACTGATGAGGGGACGGGTGGACAGTAGTTCAAATTGAAGAGCACTGAATGACTCAACAATTTTTAATCGCAAAGAAAGCCACGACAAATAAGCACTCTGCAGAGTCAAAGTTATATAAATGATGCGGCGCTTTTGGATTTTAGCAGTATTCGTTTACCCCTAATCAATGTTAAGCGTGCAGCGTGGAACATGATTGGACCTGGCGGCCCGTGGCTTTAGCCTTTAGTCCATCGTAGGATGAGACAAAGTATAGTGCCACCGAACAAATACCGATAGTGGTCATAAATTGTATTTATTTATTTATTTTCGCATACTCCTGCCCCATTTGAGGTCATAGCAGAAGTGGAGATACAACAACTCACAGTAATGATGAAAAAATATACAACAAGAAACAAAACGCCTTAGAAATGAATGACATAAAATCACACACTAAGACAAAGAAAGATGCACCATTTGCAGAAATAAAGTTATTGTACACAAGCATACGCATATCCCTCCTGACGCTCAATTGTATATGGAGATAAGACAATTTTCAAACAGCTAGTGATTTTAAAACGTTTTAACACTTTGTTATAATCTTGGTGGTACTCTTTAAAGTATTTCTCACTGGGGAAGGTGTGACAAAATAAGTAGGTTCAAAATCTGAGAATATGAAACGGCATTTGATGAGATGAACTGTTGATTCACATAAGTAGTGTCAAAAGTGCCTCCAGCAAAACCATAATTTGCCATAACCAATTAGAGTTGAATTTGCTGTATGTGGACCATACGTCGGTATACCTCAATTTCTTGAGCACCTTATGCGTCCAAAATTTATGTAAATTACTCCATTACGTCCCTTTTAAGTGGACATGTAGACACACGGTTCTCATGGAAGACACTGGTCTTGTAGCTGGCAGGAATTCCTTCTATTGGAAAAGTTCTGGTGGATAAAAAAGAACAAGGAGTTCAGTTAGTATGAATGCATCTTAAACAGTCTTGAGTAAATTATTTTAAAAAGTATTATTAGCTTATTTCCGGGCTATTCGTACCTGGAGCATAGTTTGCAAAGAGAGAGTTTGGTTCTGAGATAGTCCAAACATTGAACATAGCTTGGACATATAAAATGCTCCTACAGAGAAACACCTTGAGAAATGCCTCTTTAGTAGCTCACAGAACAGCTTAAATCATACGCAAAGCGTCAGTACCATACCCTGGTTTTCACAAAAAGCGCCACATCTCATCATAATGAACGACCTAGGAAAACATTTTTTTATAGTCCACAAACTTGAAATTAAAACCCGTAGAATTGTATATTCTGAGGACTATGGTCTGGAACATACCTAAATCTCATAAGCACCACTGCTAGACATCAATGAAGAGTGATAGGTGCACGGGTAATGGGTTTGACTGCTCACTTAAAACCAAACGTCAGCCTACAAGAAACATTTTGATGAAACACCTCGTCACCACGATTTTCGTCCAGCTCGTCGAGATTGCAAAGGCCAAGGAGGAATTCTGTTGGCGTGTGGCATTAGATGGCTGAACGCTTTACGCCTAATCTAACTAACGGTGCCTAGTTGAGCCCCTATGTATCCACCATTTTACCTCGAAATCAACCGCTGAGACTGCTACGACCCATCGTAACCAGTTCAATGTCGTGAGACAGTTATGTGACCTTCGAGAGGGGCACGGCAACATGCGGGGTGCCTATTCACCTGGGACGCTCACAGCGCTAGATTGGCTGGGATGGCTGGTGGTATTCACTGCAGTCCATCGTAAGGAGAAACAATGTATGGTGTTCCTAATTCTATATGAATGATGATTATTGTTCTTATTATTACGACATTTGTCCTAAATTTTAAACAGTCCGATATACGCGAATTAGGGGTCTAATCAAGTTTCCGTGTAGAGGGTGTTTCACCGTTGACTAAGAACTATTTAAAAAATGAAAAACATTTACTATGCTCTGCAACGGCGAATTAAAGCGCAGTTCTTCAGGAGAAGGAGGAGAGGGTGCGCACCTCCTTTCCCTACCGTCCTCCTCCTCTCTCCCCTCCCATTTAGCGAGAAAGTTTCGCTAAACTTCATGCTAAATTTAATGGAAATATTTCCCCGCTAAATTGAGCAGAAAAATGTGGCCGGGATTTTCTCTGCTAACTTTAGCAGAGAAACGTCCCATAATGCAACGCGCAGTTAAGCCGATGCCGACGGTGACGGCGATGGCGACACCGCTCAACCCGGAAACGGGCGACTAAGAATTGCACTATAAAAAGAGACGCTTGAAATAAGTAAAGAATGTCAGGGTATGAATGAACAGAAATAACTAGTGATCTGGTTGTTGACAATTCTATGTTTTAAACACTCGTCTTAGCTGGGACATTTATATTAGAGATTTGTTGCCAGTCGTCCAAATATGTTATGGGAGTTCTTGGACGTGAGGAAACTAAATTGTTTTCCATGCCACAGTTTTGCTGACTAAAATCTGCAACCCAAATTTAAGAGAAGATAGCGTCGAAAGTTGAGCACCCGAGGAGACTTCAGAGTGACATATTTTCCATGATCAAGTGACCCTTCATGATGTTCCGCTCCCAGGTCAGTTAACAGTAATTCGATCGCAATTCGTGCCAGAAAATGTCACTTCAATATTACTTTTCGCATTACTATTTCAGCGATTCCGTCTCCTCACAATTTCAGTTTAGCAGAGAATAGTTAAAATCAAAATTTAGTCGTCTAAATTCTAACATCCATGACATAATTGGGCGATTGGTCAAAATATTTCTAATCAAAATGTGCCAGATAAGGCGAATGTTTCAAGAATTAATAAGTGAACTGTAGGTAAATAATTCCCTAATCATTACTTCATAGTGGTTACTTGACTTTCCTGTGGTCTATCATGTTATTCCAAAGAAATATTTGTTTATTAGACGTGTCTTTTCTTATTAACTAACTCTCGGTAGTGGGTGAAAGACCCATTCCATACATATACCGTGACTTACTTGCTTCTCCCGTGTTCGCATCGTAGATAGGATTGTGGACACTCATCGGCACATCCCTGCAATCGAACGGACATGAGATTCAGAAACGGACGGAGAGAACCAAAGATGCGTGCTGCACATAGCCGTAACATGTGAGTGGCGGTCTCTCCGTACGTGAGACACTCCCCGGAACACTGTCGAAACACGGTGCGGTGAAAACGGCTCTTCAGAATAAAGTCACACCGTGTAGCCTCTGCCATGATGTTTCTAGGACTGCCTGCTGTGTGGCCCTAGCAGTATTGTTGCAACCGCTGCCATGTTAAGGCATATTATTGCATGGGAGATATTGTTCATAACTAATCTGAGCGCCAAAGACAAGAAGTATTCACTTTGAATTGCCTGTTGTACACATACTGTAAACACAGAGACACACAATTTCAGTCTGGAAAAGTGATATATTTGAACCTGTAGTTACAATCTAAAATTGTTTATAAGTCAATTTATGCACATAAGTACTACCTTCCAAAATAAATATTTTACATGCTAGTTTTACTTTGCTCTCGAAAGTTTTTTTTTTCTTTTTTTTTTTCTGGGGAATAATGTCTAATTTTTAATCTTTCGAACGACGCAGAGGTCATGCATTTCAATTCTCGAACGACAAGAAATATTATCCCCAGAAATATTAGTAATTCGACAGCAACGTCCTTAATAGCTCAGGTGTTAATCCAAGAAAGCAAACTTTTAGAATCTGATTGAATGGTGCAATATGAAGCAAAAAATTTCAAGACCATTACATATTTTGTTATTGGTGCATCATTTTTCAGCATTATACATCGTATAAACCAAACCTTAACAACTTGGGAATGGAAGAAAAAAAGTATGATGCAGAGGGGGGGTGCATATGTCACAATGCAACAATTTAGAAAGGACCTTTTAATTTTTTTTTACTGTAGGCTGCAGCCATAACTCAGCAAATCACTAACAAACATGGTATTTTATTCCTGTTTTGAGAAACACTCAGGAAAACCGGTGTTAGAAGTACTTTAAGTATGTGGTATTTAAAGTTCTACTTCAAGTAGGTTTAGAACAATTCTACTTTACGTGAAGTATATTCTCCGAGCATGTACTTGTACATGCTGAGATAATTTTAAAGAATATTTTCTGGTACTTTCAAAGGAAAGTAGTACTCCGGGCTCAGAAGTATGTTCCCAAAATTTGGTCTTGGTTAAACTTGTACCCCAAAATGATGCACCGCATGGCCGGAAAAAGCGAGCTTCTGCAGAAGTCGTCTCTTGTTCGTGCTCAGAAGGCAATGACTGCAGTTAACATGCCGTGTAAAGCGATCGGAAAGATACGGGGACAAGTGCGTTGATTTCGGCAGTGCCCTTTTGCGCTCGGTGAAATTAGGCTTCTTTGCGCACCATGCGCGCACATCCTTTGCTTTCCCACTACTATATATAAGCTGTGAGGTTTAGTACAAGAGTTGACGAAACTCTAACAAAAAAAAAGTGTCATAACGCCATGTGAAAGCGCGCTATCGACTTCTGAGACGTCATCTTTGTCATTCCTTTGGGTGAAGTAATGGCGGCGCTAAGAACAATACGAATAAGTGCTTTAGAAGTTGGTTGTGTTAATTAGTTTGCTTTCAAGGATAAAACAACTACTCTGTGGCTAATTGACAATATCAAATATTTACCGCCATTTTTTTTTAAACTGACGTGCCTTGATTATTCTTGAGCCAATGCATACCAGTTTAGCAAAAACTTGGCTGCATGTTTGGTCATTTTGCCAAAGGCGTTAAAATGCGGTAGCTTTATAGGGAGGGTGGTGTTATTAGTTTGGGTGGTGCTTAGGGAAATTCCTTGCATGAAAACGTCGAACCACTCTCTTCATGTGACCCTGCCAGCACTTCCCTTCAGCGCCACCCAGAAATATTCTGCGCTAAATTTTCCGGCTCACCAAGAGAAAGAAAGTGCGCCTCCCTGCCCTAAAGAAACTGCACCAGCATCAGCTTTCGAACTCTAACACGCACACACACAACACCATGAATTGTTATTTACATATCGCTATAACCAAATAACATCTATCTGTATCTTACATATTGAAACTTATTAAAAACTGCGATACAGTGAATGCCACAAGAGTGCTCTCTTGCAACGCATTCCAATATCTTACTGTTCGGCGGAAATAAGAATTTTTAAAACAATATTTTTAATTCGAATTTCTAAAGTGTCTATATTACGTATGATTCGAGAAATATGAGGTCGGATGAATTAGAATTGTTTTCGTTAGAAATGTGTCGTCTAAAACCACATAAAATATTTTCAACTGTTTGCTTCTGCAATTGTTTTTCAGCGTAGAGATACTTGCCTCAATATAAATTTCTATGGCTGATTCTCCTTCGATTCTCAGGAAAAAAAATGAAACAAAGTACAAGCCTCTGTACCCCTTCTAGTTTCAGTACTGACTTTTTTATGCAATGGTTTCACACTTCACTGGCATATGCTAGCATAAATCTTCCTAAACTTGCTCATCTCCTTGCCCTGTATACGCCTCTCCGCTCCGCACATTTTCTCACACAACCTGCTCCTGTTCCTCACGTTCCTGCATGCCGGGCTTGCAGCTCAGTCCGCTGAGTACTCAGCTTGCACGCTCGTTACCAGGGTTCACTTCCTGGCACCGGTTGCAATTTTTTAAGAGCATCTAGACGTTACGGACTGACCGATCTACATATTTCGTGCTTACGTGGCTGCCAAGGATAGTTGGCCCTATAAAGCTACCGCTTTAGAACGCACTATTTGAGAGAATGAAAGGGGATCATGAAGTATTGTTGTTGTATTTAAAGTACACATCGCGACACTGTTACCGCGGACACGTCATTGGCGCATTTTCGCGTTTTACTTCCAAATGGTATTAGCGACCATGACATTTTATTGCTTAGATTATAGAACTAAATGAGCGCTTTCCGTAGCAATAATAACATGGATGACACCCTTTGGTTTCAAAAAGAAAAACTGGAGAAACCGGCGATCGCTTGTTCGCTCTAACAGTGTCGTGCTCTGTACTTTACCTTATAAACATTATGCCCGGCGAACTTACTACTCATTGACGTACATAACCTCTCATTCATTTTGTATTTTACTTCAAGTATTTTTAGATGTACTTTACCCCACACTGACATAAACCATTCACTTTGGTCAATGCTAAACTTTGGAAAGGTAATGTTTTAAGACATGTATACCCATGACCATTTTCTGTAATATATAAATATATAAGGCGTTCAGAGTATGTCTTGCATGTGCCCTTTGGAAGACACGCATATTTTACGTTGTTTATTTGCCATACATAAGAGAAGGCATTCACACTCACGATGGTTCTTCTTTCTGCCTTATCCGGACCACATAGAAAGCAATAGCAGCAATCACTGCAGTGAGTATTAACACCACTGGAATAGCCACGGCCCAGCCATTGACACCTGAAAAGAGGACAAAGAGAGAAAAGATGACAAACTTTTCACATTTGCAAAGAGCATAAAGTAACATCAGGTCACATTTACAGCACGCCGGCTAAAATAAAGAAGTATCTTTAGCGCTGATCTGTTTAAGACACTTCCGAGCTTGATGAACACCCTTATACAATGGTGCATGGAAACATGGAAACGCACCTTTGACTTGCGTGTCTAGCATCACATCCCACCCATGTATCAAAGGTTGTACCAAAGTGGCAACATATGATGCCACACAAGCCGGCGCGTCGTGCCGTCGGATGTCGCAATCCCGGTTGTTGGTGCTAGAGTCCCAGCAAAAAAGTGAGCAAATCTCGAGTGTAGCTGTCGTCGCGGCGTTAAAACTTCTGGCTACCAAAGCTTCCGTCAACTGTCAAGCTAGACAGACAGACACCGAAGCAGGGAAGGGGAGAGACAAGACTGCACGAAGACGTGCAAGCGTCTAGCTCTGATTCTAATGACCGGTGGTATACAGTGACCTAGAAAGTCAGAACGGCAGGGCGCGCCTTTGAAGCGCCCTGCTTGCAGCACGCGTTAAGGGCCTCTTGTCACGCTTTGGCTATGCACGCACGTTCGAGCTGCACTAGACACAGAAGCTTTGTGAAAGGTGGAAGCTTATGCTAGAGGCGGAACCACTGAAGTTTTCCTCCGTCGTTATCATTATGTCAGTGATACTCTCTGTAAAACGTTCTGGAGTCTCTGGTGGCCTCCGACGTTGGAGTGCCCAGCGAGCTGCGCTCGTGATTGAACTTGCGCAAGTCCTTTTTGTGTTGGCAAAATTTTTCACTGAAGTTCCTTTTCGCGCCGATGTAGATGGCTGGGCAGTCTGCACAAGGGATCTTAAAAACCACGCTTTGTGGATTTTTATTTTTCCAGACATTTCTAGGATAGGGCATGCGCCATGCAACCGTGGATATTGTTGGTTTGTGGGCCACATTTATTACTTATTTGGCTAGCATGCGTGCCAGCTCCTCGCTTGTTCTTTTGATGTAGGGTATGCAGATGCGCGAGGTTGATCGAGGATGCATTCATAATTGTGGGTGAGGCGTCGGTATTCTCGAGCTTGACGACGGGCAACGCGGCGGATAAAGTTGCTCATGTGCCCGTTCTTGTTGAAATCAGCATAGGCGGATCGTTCTTTCTTTCTTATGTCCGATTTAGACGAGCATACAGTCTTCGAATTAGATTGCAGTGTTCTGACCACCGAGGCTTTGTGAAAGCTCGGATGATTGAAATGAAATTAAAGCTACCGTATAGTATGTGCTTGGGCTTCCTGCACACAAAAATGTTTAGGTCTTCATGTTCTCCATTTATGAGCGCATCAAGTAAAGGTAATGTATCGTCCTTTTCACGTTCCATGGTGAAATTGACAGCCAGTTCGAGGGAGCTGAAGAGCGTGGCGAATCCTTCCAATTCGGGCTTCTCAAGGATGCAGAGGCAGTCCACCTACATACCGCACAAACACTTCAGGTGTTGAGGCGAATGATTGCAGAGCCTCTTTCTCAATGGCCTTGATGCACAGGTTGGCTGTGATGAAGGAGATGAACGCGCCCATTGCGGTTCCACTGGCACCCATTTCGCTGAAGGGAATGCCGCTGAAGCAGAATTCAAGGACGCGGCACAATTTGTAAACGCTAAGGGCGATCTCGTCGTTCAGGCATTTGTCATTTTCGAGGCTCTCCTTGGCAGTCGCAGCTGCCGGGGGAAACCGGCACACTCGCGCAAAGCCAGATGACGTCGGATGACACTCGGCGTTCCTCAGCGCTCGCCGTCAATTTTGAGGAACGCCCCAGGAAGCCGCTAGAGTTACTCGCATAAGTCGCCATGTTTCGACCGGCATATCTTTTTTATTGAATCCTGGCACATTAAAATGACGAAAGAAAACATAAATAGATGTCATGATGCTTTGCCGTCCGTATATGGGTAAGGGTGTCGCTGGAAGAACATCGAAAGATACTGCTCCATGTCAGCCATTATCATAGTCACCATTAAGGGGCAAATAGGCGTTCAAACTTAGGGTAACCATATTGTTTTACGATTTGGCTTGTGGTCGTTCATCTGTCATATATATGAAAACAAATCGAGGCTATTTATTTTTTATTATACTAATAGCATTCTAACTTAAAAAAACTGAATTTCATAATTTTTTAAACCCGATTTCTCCCAGATTATCAAAATAGAACAAAGCCCGAATTTTTACACCCCGATTATTACAAAAAATATATGAACCCGAAACTAAGGACCCTGCTTATTGCGTACAAGGTAAAAGGTTTTAGTAACAAGCTATGTGTGTAAGCATCTGCCCTGCTTTATTGTATCGACGCCGAGAGTGGGAGTTGTTCCTCAGATTCTATCTTATGCTAATGGTGTTTCCTCGAGATTAAAGAGTTTGGGAACCCCCGTGTAAGAAAGCAGTCCCCTTTCTAGAAAATGATTATGGCAAGAGCAGTGACAGTCAAGATGTCGCCTACGAAAAAAAGTGGCCTTCGGGCTTTTATGCTTATTAAAGCAGCACAGCCTTAAGAGCTCGTGCCGCACCGGGCTTGGTGGCGTACCACAAAAAGCCGGCGTGACGCAAAAACTCTGATTGGTCAATAGAGTTATCAGGTCACAGTCCCATGACCTTGAGCGAGAATTTAAAAAGCCCACAACGCTCACGGGAAACGGGACGGGATTCGAACCTGCGATCCTTCTGTTGTGAGCCAGACACGCCACTGACTAGGCCAAGCACACACTTTTTTTGTGTGTTTTTATTGTAGGTCACGCTGACACGCTTGCACGGCTTTGAAACGCGCGGGGGTTTATATATGTAGCTAAAGCGTTCCACTTTTCATGACGAAGCTTAAACATTCTTCTATAATTTTATGACGAAACATACTGAAATTGCCCAAACATGTTAAGTGTTTTGTGCTGATTTCTGATATCTGGTCATTTTCTCGGTCTGTAGATTTGTTTTCAGGATATTTAAATATTGCCCCTCTCTGCTTTGAGGAGCATTCGCAAGAATAATGCTCAACACAATATTATTTATAACACATGGCTAGATATTAAGATGTAGAAAGGTTACAATGTTGGGAGTACTTACAAGATAAAATGATTATTACTAATTTTCAACACAGTGAAGTTTAGTTCTCACAGTGCGCCTACCAAGTAATAAAAAATTATTCTGGAAACGTTCCTACACCTACATTAAAAGTGTTGTCCTCGGCATTATGGTTCACACATTTAGCCGAATGTTAAAAAAAAAAAGTATATTTATATCTGCCCCAGATGCCGAGACACTCCTGCAAATTTGCAAGGAGTCCAAAATTTGCGTTTGTGAAAGTGGCATTTTAAAGTCAAATTAAACGCGCATAAAGCCTTTATAGGTAACATAAATGAATTCATTACTAAAATATTGACCCCACAAAATTAGAAACCTAATAGTATCTGAAGAATAACAGCTGTCAATCTCAAAGTAGAAATTTCGACAATTGAAGCAATATTTGGCACCACAAACTCATGTCCCCCCTTACATGCGAACAGAATCGTCGTAGCAGGTTACTGATAACTTCGTGAGAAACAATCGTTCTACTGCTTTTCGAGTAGAATTGTGAGGCACCTCGTGGTGACAACAGTCATTTGGAAGTGCTAAGGTAGTAAGAGAGTACTAAGGTAGTAAAGTACTAAGTAAAATACTAAGGTATATTTGAAGCTAGCCATGCCATACCTGAACGGGCCACACTAACTTGATGACTGGCTGACTTGAGGACATTGCAGCGCTTGCCCGAAGTGTCTGACTGACACGTGCATTTGGGGTAGCCATTTTCCGGCTCAGGCGCGACGTTGCAGCTTCCGCCATTCTTGCAGTAGTCCGATGGACAATCTGGAAAGGCATCACACGTACACAACTTGTGTTAGTTAAAGTTAAATGTAGAAAAACAAGGTGTTGCACTGCTCATGCTCGTCTTTCCTTGGGGATCCCAGATCTAATAATATATTGTCTCTGCGGTACTCGACGGTTGCATTACCGACTATGACTTGCACCCTGCAATACAGTCCGCAAAAGCAAACTATGGCTGAAAAATATAAATTGACTTTTTAATCTGCACATGGCGCCTAACACGCACCTGGTGCCTAAAGCACACATAAAATCCTCCTTAACCGCATTCCTTGACAAAAACACGTGTTCTATTAGGTCACATAGCTCGTATCATACAGAAATCACATTTAAAATACTCTGTCACTCGATAGTTTCGTCATGTCCCGTTGTAATTAACAATCTATACCGGTTTAAACGTCAAGAAAAAATGTTTTGCGCATTGTTCTTCCGCGGCGTCAAAGAGTTTTTACCAGATTTGGTTGTCGCGGGAAAAAGCGATGCTTTTGGCGCTTGGAACATGTACGTCTTGATAAGATGACATACATCTCATTTAAATTGCACCTACATATACATTAATTATAAAGCATTATTAAGGGGGAAATCAGTAATGTTCCTCTAGGAGCTGAACTTTTTTTACTACTGTTCTGGAGTCTACGAGCATTCCACACCTGTAGGTAGTCCGCGGTACCCAATACCTCAACTTTAGAATGCGTATACCGTGCTTTGTTTTTCCATTCCCTGGTCGGCGTTTGTCGTGTTCAGGAAATTAATAACGAGAGCAGGCCTGCTCACGAGATGTCTGACCGACGATTTTCATGCATGCAAGAAGCCCTAAATAAAAAATTTTTGGGACTCGGGAAAAAGTTCCAAACATCTCCAAAACGTTTAAAATATTCGAGCGTTGAGGAAAAGTAACAAATGTTTCTTAGGTGCAATCCAGCCATCACCAATTCTGTAACAAAGAAAACTCTCGGCAGGCATAAACATTCTATCGGTGTCCCTTTAGCAAAAGATCACATTGCCCAGTGAACTTCTACCGTTGTATGCTCAGTACTGCTTAAGGAGCGAAGCACTTACAGCCGCAGAGTGATTCATCTGAGCCGTCACTGCAGTCGTGGTGGCCATCGCAGAGAAACGATGTGGGAAGGCACCACTCTGGTGATCCGGTCCGGCACAATATCTCATCTGCCGCACACTGGTTACGATCGCCTGCGAAAACAAAATAATAAACAATCTTGTAAAAACATTAAATGTCAAGCATTTTTAAATACAAAGTGCAGTGAAAGGTACAATACCAAAATATGGCAGCGACGTGTATCTACGAAGTAATATAATTAAGGCTCTGTGTATCCGGAAAAATCTGATAAAATCCGAAGAAACTAGGGTTGCTAGTTTTCATAGAGTCATAAAGGTGATAAAGCAAATTGTCAACATTTATTCTTCTCAATAATTATAAATTAGAGCGCAACTCATAAGGTGTATATATAAATATATACATCGTAAATTACCAGTGGAGCGCTGAATTCACTTTTACTGAAAACTGGGTTAATCTTGACATGGGCGCTTGTGCAGACGAATTGGGCGCTTAACGTACAATATTAAATATCTGTATGTTTAGGAAATGCTAACAGTGGCCGTTTGTGTGGTATCTGATGGTATATATATACAGCCAAAAACTGCGAGAAAAGACGCCTAAGAGCTGCGCTCTAGAAATAGTCAATTCCCACCATTTTAATGTATAAAGCTCCACGACCATCAGCTAAACGAGAAATTTGGAAGAAGATACATTAGCGACTTCCATTTGAAATCACATGAAAAGAGCTCGAAAATTTCATTGGACACTGCATTCAAAACCAATCTTTTAGATGCATTCAAAATGAGGCACACGTATTAAAATGAGAAAAGGTCCAAGCTTTCTTTATACTCCCGCAAGCATAATATTTTGCAACAAATATGCATTGGTAACTATTGTGTTGGCTGCAAAAGAAGAAGTGAGAAATGGAGCCGCTGCGCGCAGGTAAGAGGGTGACGACGAACAGAACAAGGATGTATGTCACATAGTGCGACTAGGCTAATTCACTGTCAATTCATTTTCCTTACAGTGCAGCAAGAACAGCCTGATATGTCTCTCTAGAAGGTCCCTGAACCCCCCCCTCCCCCCCTAAAAGGAAAGAACAAGTTGTAAGCGCCTAAATAGGGCGTGGCTGATACAATATGACCTTTTCCAGGAGCAAAAAATGTGCTTCCGGGTAGCACAGAGTTTTGGGCCAAAATTTGGCGTTTTATGGGGCGTTTAGGGCCTCGAAAAGGACGAAGAAGCCAAATTAGAGCCAAACCTGACCTTCCATGTCAATTGTTTGGGTATTTTAGCCCTAATTAGCCAAATAAGTACCAAACTTAGTCTTCACTGCCTGGTAGTTCGGCTGTCATCTGGCATCTATGGGCCTAAATCGCCTAACAAATGCCAGAGTTAGGCTTATTGCCCGGTAGTTCGTCTGATATTTGGCATTTTTGGGCGAAACTCGCCAAAGGAATGCCAAAGTTAGGCTTCACTTTTCGATAGTTCGGCTGTCATCTGGCAATTTTGGGCCACAGTCGCCACAGATGTGCCAGAGTTAGGGTTACTGCCTTGTAGTTCGGCTGACATCTGGCATCTTTGAGCACAAGTCGCCAAACAAGTGCAAAAGTTAGACTTCACTTCCTGGTAGTTCGGTTGTCATCCGGCAAATACGGGCCAAAGACGCCAAACAAGTGACAGAAGTAGGCTTTTTGTTTTTGGACTTCGGCTGATGAGGTATTGGATGTACACGGGTGGTCTCCAAATTAATTAAATAGAAATAAAGTTTTATTCTGCTCGTAACTTTTGATTTTATTTTCGGTGTTCCTTACTTTCTCAAGGCCAAAGGTGGGATTAATGTTTTGGCGCGGCTGGAACAGTTTTTGCAAACGTAGATTTCGACGGATTTCTGTGTTCGCGCATAAGTACACAGGCCAATATCGGGACGCGCAGTGAGAATGGATCGACATTGCAGATACTGCTGCCGTCGAACAAGCGCTGCGCGAGACTGTTGTGCGCACGTCTCCTTAACAGGTATCATTATTATACGGCGCATTGCAAAAGCGAACGTAGCTCTGTGCGCTTCTTGCATTGCGATTGAGCAGTGCCAAATCCTATCGATAACAAAAACAAAATGACCGCATCTCCACGTGGTGAATGATGTTGATTGGGGCGAAGCTCTGGTGGTGCTGATGATACTGATTTTATTGCTCATAGGTAGTGCTGATGGTGCTGTTTTTTTTATTGCCTAAGGTAGTGCTGAGTTCTGTGTTGCGTTTCAACTTCATTATTACTGCTTTATGGTCGGTGAAATGCAGATCCAGTTGTTCTTCTAGCGGATCAGCTTGGATCCGCTAGAAGCCGTGTTAACGCATCTCCACCGCTTAACTCAACGGTCCATGTCAGAAAGAGAATGTGTGGTATGGTACCTGGCTATATACGCATTTGAGCACTTGACCGCAGCGCCCTCTCGTCTTTAAACTTTGAACCAATGCATGCAAAGTTTAACGCGATTATATACGCATTTGACAGCAGTGCCCTCTCCTGTATAGACGTTGAGTGGCTACATGCAACGTTTCATCCATGACATCCCCAGCTCTTGAGTTACTACCACATCTCAGAGCCCCCTATTCGTCCCCCAGTCGTAGCCGAGTGGTTAAGGCGGTGGACTTGAAATCCATTGGGGTCTCCCCGCACAGGCTCGAATCCTGTCGATTGCGCAACCCTTTTTTTTTTTCTTCCTTTGTGAGCACAGACGCAGGACGGACGGACGGACGGACGGACAAGACTAGACTCTAAGGAGCTTCGCCGCTAAAAGCGAGAGCGACAGTGGCTCTGTGGTATTGCATCCGCTTGACACTCGGGGGAACTAAAATATAATCCTGGCGGGGACTTTTCCCCGGGCAAAGAAAGTAAATTCATGTCCATAATTACGTCTCGATACTTATTGAGAATCAGAAGCGACTCCGAAATGTGCTTCCGTTTGGAACCACATTTCTTGAAAGCGAATTTTTTTTTCTTTTTCGGGGAATGTTTCTTTTTCCGCATACATGTCCTATTCAGGCACTTAAATAATTGTTTTGTGGGAGTGTCTAAAACACGCAGTCGTGTTCGAAGCAGGAAAGGTGACTCACTGCACATCTCGTCGATACCGTTGGGGCAATCGAGCACGCCGTCGCAGACAAGCGCCAGGGGAATACACTTCTCGTTGTTGCGGCAATTGAACTGCCCCGGACCACAGGTCACCACCTTGGGAGCCCAAGTAGTCCAGACGGGCTCCGGAGAATTCCTCCGCGTAGTTCCGGCGCTGGACTCTGAGGTGCTGGTCGGTTCTGAGAGGGAGCGATTTTAGTGTATTATTTATCTACTTGGAGCAGTGAGTACTACTTTCTCGCGGAAGGTGCCCAGAACATTGTTTTCAACACAGAATTAGGAACTAAAAAATAATTTTCATTTTTACAAAGGAACCATACAAGTTCAATAAAGCATTAAAGTTATGACGATGGCTTCGGCACAGCATCATTTTTACGATGTGTATACAGACTTTTGTGTCCAACAGTTTTTGATAGCGGTATTATAAGCAAAAACAAATAAGAAACAAATGGACTTGTAAGTGTGAGAGAAAATTTAACGCACAAACAGTTGGGGAAAGCTCCATTTCCTGCCCTAGCCACAACAATCAATCGCATATGTTACAAAAGACAAAACGAAAATCAGCAAAACTTGCAAGTTGTGCCCCATCTCTCTTTCAAACTCAACCAGAGCAGCTTTTTTAGAGATTTATACCTAAAAGGGCAACTCTGCTCAATTCCTCTCAATTCAATATTGAATAATTTTCCATTAAAAACACCAATAAAATACACTACATCATTTGCTTCCCGAAAAATGGGATATATATTGTTATATCTTAATTTAAACACGAGCAGAAATCGAAACCGAACATTCGGCTCCGTCTGGCAACATTGGCATCGGGCCACGAGAAACATGGCTATCATTTGGCACGAGGCGTGACGTGATCCTTTACCCAACGACGGGCGGGATTAAGGCGAACGTGTGCCAGGCGCAAGTGTCGTGTGCACCGCACTCTTCACCACGTTTTGGTGTCTACGACATTCGATGACGTCTGCACAACTATGGCATCAGTCTGCGCACTTAAGTCATTGTGAACAAAACACCGAGAGATAATAATCGGATGTGGTGAGACGGCGGCGGCGGTTGTGAAGTGGGAGACGGCGGTGACAGCGGGACGTTTAGACGGCTTCCTAGAAGTATGGTGCCTGGAACGCGTCTCCCACTGGTGTGTTTACCGTGGCCAAAAAAGTGGTCCCTCGATTTCCGCCTGATGACGTCACAGAAGTGTCATGCTGCCGCGGGTCACGACCCTGGTGGTGTTTCAGCAGCTGTGGTGGATATGGCAGACGCCTATTCTGCTGCAGGTCGCTCACCACAGTGACAGTCCGAAAGTTGGGACGCCTGGGAGGCCGTGACGACAGCGACACTCGCGTTCGTTCACGCTTTTTGCCAGCAGTTCTACGGCCAACCGCCAGGATCGCGACAGTCAACAGCATGACACTCCGGCTTCTGTGACGTTATTTGTTGCCACTTGGGGACCACTTTGGATGTATGGACAGCATAGGACGCTAAACACACCTGTCGGAGACGCGTTCCAGGCACCATACTAGAAGCGCGCGGCGCAGGCGCATTACCCCAATCACGTGGACACAGCTGAGCGCCGAGAGGAAACGTTTTTGGTGTCACCCGTTACGCTTGCCCGGAGAAGTAAACAAAAAGGGGCAACAGTGATGATGATTATCTCAAAGTTGGCTACGTAAACGCAGTAGCCATGATTGTGCTGTTTTTGCGCCTCAAGTAGCCGCTAGAGTCAGCCGATTTCGGAAACTTGCCGACTGCAAAACTTTGCCAGACCCTTTAAGAGACACTTAAAAACGAACTAGGTTGTAATATTTGACATGTGCCCTTCCTAGCTCAGGAGTTCTCAAACTGGGTTTCACGAACTGGTCTCATGGACTCCGAATTACAGCGCACCCCCCCCCCCCCCTCCCCCCCACCACAATCCCTAGTTTAACCTTACGCGTACTAAGCCATGAATAGAGTTGGTGTTGAGGACAAAGCAACCTCACCCTTCGCACTAATATCTACATATATTTTTTGCATTGTGCCCCAGGTTAACCCGTCTGCCTTCTTATTGGGTCTTCCATTTTGTCTTCTTCTGTCAGCGCAATAAACATTTGTTCATTATCTAAACGCCTTTATTGCCCAGCATGATCGGTTGGAAACAGGAGGGGAAAGGGAGGTTGGAGAATTTTGAGGCTTGCAGGGGTTCCCTGGGATGAAACAAATTTTAGAAACCCCGTCCTAGGTGATACTAATATGGACAGCAATGTTTCTTCAAAACAAAAAAAGTGAAAGCCGTTTACGACTTCCTGTAACGCCGAATTCAAGCGCAGCTCTTGAGGAGGAGGAGGGATGGGTACTGAGGGGAGCGTAGACCCCTCCTCCTCCTCCTCCCCCTTCTTCTCGTCCTCCTCCCCTTATTCTTGAATATGCTCCGGGGGGTCACCCCCTCCACGAGGTCGCGTGATCCCCCCTCACCCCCCCTAGGTCACATGACCTCCGGGGGGGGGGGTCACGTGACTTGGGGAGTCACGTGACCTTCGGGGTCACGTGACTTGGGGAGTCACGTGACCTTCGGGGTCACGTGACTTTGGGCGTCACTGACCTCTGGGAGTCACGTGACCTTGGGGTGACCTTGGGGGTTACGTGACCTCGCGGTTACGCCGACGGCGACGGCGACGCCGACGCCGCTCAAGCCGGAAACGGGCGCCTAAGAGCTGCGCTCTAAAATTTAGAGGAGTTTCCCATTAATATACTGCCCAAGGTCGGATCAAACCGCCCGTACACTGTAGGGCTGAAGCAAGAGAGGCTGGTATTGAATAATCCAGCCCAAGACATGTTTGCAACATCTTGCCTGGTCGTGGTTTCGGTCGAGCTGTGGTGATCACTACAGGTCTCCGTGTGGATCGTGGGACTGGGGAGGTGACTGTGAAATAAAGTTCAATTTAATTGTAGGTTGATTACTTTATTGAAGCTGTAAAAATAAACAAAAATAGACATAATTGTTGCATTTGCCGTCTAAAGGCAAGCATGTATCGCGATGGTAATGATTCTAACTTAATTTGTTTTCATTAAATTAATCTCTGAACTCTAGTTACATTCAAGTGAGGCACGAAGGCAGAAATGATATATAAAAAAAAAAACTTCGCACCTCGTTTTATCCTATACAGTTTAACACTCGAATCTGGTTAATTTGAAGTGTTTTATGTTAAGTTTCATAAGTTCGGTACCTCAAGGATCCTAAAAAAGCCTCGCAATTATGTTGGCCAAGCTTAATAAGGCAGCCATGGTAAGAATGCTAGCGCAAGAGGTGCTTGGAAATAACAACCCGGTTGCAGCTTTTTCCACTGACATTATCGAAATTAAGAAGAATGCAGTATAATCGCGATTGGAATAACAGTGGCTATTACTCGAGGGTTGTTACTGTATTTTTGTACCACACGTAAAGAGTATGGAGTTTTGTATTTTATTAGAATTATCATCCTTTCTTATTTACACATTCAATTGATTCGCTATTAATTAGGCAATTAAATATATGGGTTAATAATGAATGAGAGTAGACAATAAATAGTCTGAGCTCAGGAGTGCATTGTAACCTTCAATGTTTGAAGTGACGCAGGACACACCATTGCGTTGCTTTGTACTGGAAAACATGGAAACCCTATGATGCTAGATCATTCGAAGCAAATCAAATGTTATACAAGGTGTTTCTTTAAATACTTTCGAAACTTTATAAAAATGGAGTGGTTGAGAAAGAAAGAAACACATTTCTGGAATAACCTGCCAGTCACGACGGACGTCAGAACTGGCACAAAAGCACACTAATTAAAAAAAAATTGCAGGAATGCTAAAAAACACAGTTTTTAACTTTAGGAAAAAAGACATTTGCCTCCCATTGGAAGCTTGATGATGGCCATCAAAAAACCTAAGTCAGTCGAGTATGGGAAGACTTAAAGCACGTGTGAAACATGAGGGTATGCTTAAGTTTTCCATCCGTGGCGCTGGTGGTAGCCTTGCGATAGAAAAACGCGGGTGATTTTCCTATCATTTGTGTTTTTATTAGGGATTATTCCAAGTATTAGCAGGGACCCCTGGTTTTTGTGCGCACATCTGGCGATACCACTGAACTTTAGAAACAACAGAAACCAAGAAAGCAAGAGCTGGGTCTCGCACAAATCTTAATGGCATAGGCTCGACAAATATGACAGAAAGCCTCACAGGCACCAGTAAGCTAAGGGTTCTACAGTAGACACCTTTATGCGTACCAATCGGTTCTGGCTCTTTGGGACAAGGACCGGTCTTCAAAGCAATGTCGTCAATCGCAATGTCACTTCTCGTTAATACTCCTGGAGAACCAGTGATCCGGACCTGCAATTGTGAAAAAAAATGACAGGCAGCAATTGGGTAATTAATCTAGGGCATCAAGATACACATTGCATTTGATTCTACAGAAAAAAGACCTGAAGAATTATGTTAATTGCAGAGGGAGTGGAAATCGGCTTCTAGCATCATTAATTTTTAATAATAAGCACCTTCAGCCCAAACTTACTTACTGGTACATCAGGAGTCTCAAACGCGTTGTTCCCGGGCCGCATGCGGCCCGCGATTCGCATGGGACGCCGCCCGCAGGCAACCAATTACGAGTTCCGGTTCTCAAGTCTCGAGAACTAGAAATGGCTTGTGCCATTTCTAGCACTCGAGCGCTCATTTTTCATCCCGTCGATTCATTTTCGCTGGAAAGGTAACTATGGTCTTTGAACGTTTTCACATAGCTTACCTACACACCTCTGCGTTAATTTTCCCTTTGTTTCGTTTAGTTTTTTTGCTTAACCGATTTTTGTAATATAAAACAATTCCACTAGGAGGCTGCAAGCGCGAGCTCTTTGAAGAATGCATCTCGGCTGCGCGAGCATTCGGTCACCAGGAGCAACCGTAAAAGGTAAAGCACTACGAGCTCGTGATTATCGTCTTAAAGCAAATATCCGACAAGTATTTGCTCAGAGCGTTGTTACAAAAAATTTCCAGGAAAGCATATAATGTCAAAGCTACAGATTTTTTAGAGACATGTTGAGCTTGGGGAATTCCTGAGTAAATTGAGCAACGGAAAGGCCAGTGAACTAGCTCTCTTCTTCTAATAAAAATGTACGTGTGTTGGCGGGGCGGTGTAATTTGACTTCTTGTTATCACTTAACGTCAGGGCTCAAAGTAGTCAAATAAACAAATTAAATCTAAATATGTCATTGGCAAAACTGTGTATTTATTTTTAATCGGTTTAAACCTGTTATACCTTTTGGTGGTGCAGGTAGAGAGCCACATTTTATTTTTATTCAGTTTAGCTTTCAGAAAAATCAAAAATTGCAAAACTAAGTTCAAGAGAAGGGTACAGCACGAGGTCTATTCTCTTTAAAAACTTTTCAACACCCATCCCCCCTCCATCTTACGTTGGCTCTCAACCTTTCCGGTCTTATCTATCTGCCCCCAAACTCAAACGAGTTTGAGACCGCTGTGGTACATCACAACGTCTTTGTTCAAGAACATTAGGCATGCACAAATCGTGTTTTGTTTTGTTTCAAAGCGAATTCCGGGCAAACAGTGATTTGAGGAATATGAAAAATTTATATATACTACCAAAACTTACTACCGCCATTACAATATTTAACTTGCATTACAACCCTAAAATTTAACCCCAAATTCGGCAAAGCAACCAACACAGTCTGCTGTCTCGATTTTCGAACATATGTGTGGAAGCGTGGCCGCAGCATTGCATGCCCTTGTTTTGTTGTCAAATGCCAAGGTATTGTTTTGGCACTTCAAGGTGTCTCAAATAGCGGCCAGGCTCTTTACATTAACCGCAAAAATTGGTTTCGTAGCTTATCACTAGAAAATTTTGTGCAGCGTGTCCCCGATATGGTGCATTTTTTTCTATAAAGTTTACAAAGACCGAGCTTATCTAGAGAAAAGTAACAAGAAAAAGTCTGAACTTCTATGGAAACGCAGCGAAGCCACCGGTCTTCGAACAATTGGGCGCCCTATTGTTTGAACGCCAGTGGCTTCGCTGCGTTTTCATAGGAGTTCACCCTTTTTCTCTTTTTACTCTTTCCTCGGGTACGTTTGTTGTTTTGCAAATTTTATGGAACAAATGCACCGGCTCTAAGCAACGCGGTGCTAAATCGTAGCAATATAGGCTAAGACACCGATTTTTGCGGTTGATTTAAAGAGCATGACCTCTATTTCAGATACCCTGTGTTGGAAAAGTATAGTTCTATGACACTATCAACTCGTGTTTCTCTTATTGTTATAAAGGATAAAAGCTTACTTTTTTAAACAGTTTCTTTTATTTTTCCTCGTTTTTTCGAATGTCACATTTCGTTTAGCACTGAAAATATGATGTCGTGAAAAAAATTTGCCGCCACTGGCGCATCTTACAGTCGACCAACCCATCTCGGCTTATGTATAGGTTTCTTTGTCTTCCGATTTTATTTTTATTTTTTAATTTATATCACTTCCTCAAAAGGGGGACTTTTTTCATTTTGACATCGCTCTACTAAAAATATATATTTTAACAGTTTTGGACGACCTTAAACAGAGAAGCACACAAAAGAAAATCAAGGTTAACCCCGATGGCCCCAGTTGGTCAATGGAAAAAAACCTTTTGAAGACTTCCTAAGCTTTGATCCCCTAAACTAAGGGTTGCAAAAGAGAAAGGAAAACACTACCTCCGGAGCAAGAAAGACTTAGACCGAGTTTTGTTTTGTTGCGATGGTCGTATCCCCGGTCTAATCCGTGTGTCCCTGTTTAGTATTGCCCTCCCTGTATTGCCTTAGCTCAAAACACTGACCCCGCAATTCCCGAAACTACGTTAGCGCAGTTTCTGGGCGGACGCTGATTCTCCGTGCGTCCTCGTGCACAAAGTGTAATAAAATTGTATCGTATCGCATTGTATTAGGCTGCAAGAAATACATTTTCTTGCTGCTATCGCGTAACGTCTGCCTGAATAAATATTGCTTCTAACTATAACTTCCGTTACTTAGTGGTATTGGTACTACCGTGTCGTCAAGGTCCCTTTTGGTTTAGCTGTCTCAGCGTAAAGTGGTATCACTCAAAATGCATACTTACGGTGAACGGGCCATGGATGTTCTTTACTTCGTACGAAAGCTTGGTCCAACCGTTGGAAAGGGGTGGTGGAGCTTTTTTAGTCCCGAGGAGCGAATCGCTTGCGTCCACAAATGTTACGGAGAGCTTGTTGTCGCCTGTAATCGTTAAAAAATTAACCAAGATATTTTGCATGATGTCTAGATGCCCCTCCCCATGCGTATTTCTCAAAAACAAAACTTACAGTTTCAGAAAAAAAAAAAGATCAGAAACAAGTGCAGATGTGTTAAAAAATGTTCAAGTATCGACTTATGTGATATCAGTTTCAAATTGAAGAAAGGCTTCAAAAATGTCCTAAACGTATACAAACATTTTTTTCTTTATTATTATAAACAGGCTCTTTTAGCTTCTTTGAGTTTTCTTCCCCCATAGCACAAGTGCAAAGCGACAATACTCTCAGTGTCAGTTTGGGCTGTTTTCATGCAGCCTGGTTATATCTATCAGTAGATATCATCGCTGACTAACAGTGAGACTTGTGCCTTAAAGGCAATGAGTGGTGTCTCTAACATTTCTAAGCTAAATGAGTTTAGAAACGTTGTTGGCTGCAATATTTCTAGATTTGCAAGTGATTGAAACAATGCCACCATTACAAAGAATTGTTCACCATTCAAAACCACACAGGGTTTGTTCAATGTATCAAAATTTAGACGATAAATAAACAATCATTCATATATTACTTCAATTGGTGCTATTTCTTTCCACGTGGAGACAGCAGCTATCATCATTTACTGCGTGGAGTACACAATAAAACTGCATTGGTGGCAAATTAAACACCCAGTCCTTGTAAACTGTATTTACACTTTTTTCAATATGAATAATACAATATGGTAGATCTGGCACAGTACCTGTGTGTAATTAAGTCCTTAATTTAAAAGTTTTAAATAACATTATACTTTTCTTAGCTCCTGTAATCTTTACCAAAGCGTTCCCAAAAGTAGTTCTGAGAAAGCCAATATAACCAAGGAAAGAAAACAAGCCTTGGTCTGAGTAAATAAAATAAACGTACAAATAAGTTTGTCACATACCTTTCATGGCCATGTGATAGAAGAACTCGAAGCAGACTGGATAAGTATAATGGAGAAGCTCGCTTTCCAGAACGCCTCCTTTTTTCGCCGAGCTATCCTCTGCGTCCAATACCAAGTATTTTCCTGAAAAAATATAGGGAGTTCACATTAGGTTACCTTTCTGTTGCGCATAAAATGCCTCAAAATCTTGTTTCGTTATGTTCCACGCACATTCTATAAAAATTGCATTTTTCCATTTAAATGGCTTTACTCTTCACGCATGATAAGTAACGCTCAAGATTGTATGGCTTCTTTGTACGTCTGTGCAATAATGTATCTCAGAATAATACTTAACCCGCGAGAATTCAGAAGTTAGATTACTACAGTATACGAAAAGAGCCTGCTGAAAATATAGAAAAGGTAAAGCTGTATAGATCAAGACGTTTATGCTGTAGTTCTTCTCTGAGATGCTAGCCACTAAAAATATAAATACCCTGGCCCAGAAATTATGCTACTCATCATTTCTTAGGCTCCCTCCGCAGACCTCGGCGAAACTCTCGAGGTCCCTCAACGAAAAAGGGCACAAAGCCTGTGACCACCATTAACCTTTCCCAACTTAGATGCTCAGGGTACGCACTAGTACTCCCCAGTCTCCGGACACTTATTTATTTACTCCTTTACCGTGTCCACCAACAGCCAGAGGCCTAGAATTGTGGTGCACGAAATGTCCAAATTACAACAATATGCTGTGGGAGAGTGAGCTACAGCCCGCCTTCACACAGTTTTGTTCGAGTGTAATCAACTATTTATAAACCACTCATGACCACATATTCTGGGCTTGAAATAAGTGCGCCAACGTTATAAGCGACCAATTCTCATAGAGGGCGCATAGATTCGATCTCACAAACACTACAAAACCTTCAGCCTATTTTTAAGCAGACTGGAAGTGTTCCAGGGTTGTGAGAGTCGACCGCACATAAACGCCTACGTATGAACCACCCTTCACCAAGTCGTTCCCAAATTCAAGACACGTCAGAGTCGTGAAAGCGTTTAGCTGGCAGTGTGTGCCCCGAAGTTTCTTATCGGCCTGTAAACCTGCCTTCCTTGGTGTCCAGCGTGTGGTCCCTGAGGACTGTGCTGTTCCACGCGGAGGTGCGGCCGCTGTTCTGATACCAGTGCATCATGTCCGGGTTCAGGTTGGCATTCCTCCAGTTGCAGAGGTCGTCTTCGAAATCGCAGCTCCCCGGGGGAGGACAGACACCGTCCCCAATGACGACGTCGTCCACGGCGACCACTGCCGACGAACCGTCAGATTTCGAACCCGCAAACGTCACCTGCGTCAACGTGCAGAAAAGTATATTAGATGTGTTCTTTATGCGATACAAAACAGTCTAAGGGGCTAGGGGATAAAAACAAGGCTGTCTTTTGACAAGGCCAGCCAGCACCTGATTATGGTACTTTACAGCAAAAAGTGCAAAAAAAAAAAACACCGATAATAATTCACGAGTATCAACGAGACATATTCTGGATAATGCGTGAAGGCCAACAATAGTAGCACCAATTGCGGATTATGATACGTTGATAATATACTGTTGAACATCATTTTTTCAACCTTCGGAATGTTAGTTTCAACCAATTCAGCTATGATGGAGTTCCTGTTTAGTGCGTCGGGGAGGATATATGCAACTTGTTGCAATGCCCTTTGTTTGCGCACTTTTCTCTTTACGTAGTGACCTCCATTTTATAAATTGTAGTTTCCTGGGGTTGTTGCTAACATAGGTTATAAAAAAACTCACTGCATTATGTGCCAATAGTCTATGCAGACCACTCTTTAGCTGTAGAAGAGTTGGAAACTGGACCAATTAGTGCCGATTCATTATGAAACAGAGTGCACAAAAGACTCATATGATTGATTACCCTGACTTGTATTTCACTGGATCATTTTAGGCCGAGCTTGTCAATTATTTTTTTTGTGTGTTCTGTTATTTTTATGGTACCTTTCGGTCTCACTTTACCAACTAATCTTATCTAACTACAATCCGGTGTAATTATTTGTATGTTCTGTTTCCTTTCTTATACACAGTTTACCTTCTTAATATTTGTAATATTTATTTTAATCCTTCTCGTGTGAAGCATCTTGCGGATGCCCCTAAAATAAATAATATGAAATTCAACAAACTGTTTTACCAGTTTTCAAGTCAGTGAACGTTCCTGTGTTGGAACATTCAAGTTTTTATTGAATGTCTTTCAATGGCACAGGCATTCGGTAGATGTCAAATAAAATCCCCTGCACGAAGCCCTTTAGCAGGAAATTAAATGCCCCTAAATTCATTTTGGTATATACGTTTATTATTAAGATATGAAGTGAGTTGCATGGATAAACTTTGAGATAACCGTACATCTGATTAGTAACTCAACTAGAAAGAAATGTTGTTATTATAATCCATCTAAATACTAAACTAGAGTTATGTAGTTCCAACAATTGATTTAAAAGTTCAATTTGACTATACAGTAAACACCAGTTAAGCATGTGTCTATAAAGTACTACTGATTGTAGAAAAAGCATGAAGGCACCTGCCGGAGTTTCAACCCTCCACATCAACACCATCAAACAATAATTGAATCAAGCAAAATGTAGGGAGCAGAGCTCAAATCAAACACACCGAACCTCGAATCCACATTTAAGTTTTTAAATGTTTATATTTTGCTATTTTTAATTGATAAAAGCCACAAAGACGCCTGGAACAGCTTAGAGCTTAGCCACAAACAAAAAAAAAACAATAACTAAATCCTGTAGAATTGTAGGATTCAAAGGGCAAATCAAATACACCGATATTCTGTTCCAAGTCTCCCGAACTTTCTATTGCAAAAGAGAAAACCACAAAAACGCATGCCTAAAAGACACAACTAAGTCAAACAAATTAAGATGAGCCTTACGATGACATTATTCGGTGACTGGTCCAGGGTGACTGACGCTGAGAGCCAGCGGCTTTGGGGCACCTGCGAAGCGTCAATCCTCCAGAGTGTGCCTGGTTGCGTAGCAGCAGACTGGGTGTTCCTAATCTCGAGTTGCTCCGTGCTTGTCCCCGAGAGGTAGTGCCAGAACTTCAGGCATCTGGGCTGGGTCATTTTGAGGCTAGGGCTAGAAAAGTCCCCGTCAGATCTCCGGAGAAGCGCAAATGACCCTGGAATTATTTAAAATACGTCAGTGTCAGCTTAGTCGCAATTATCTCTGTATAAAAGCGTTGACATTTAGGTAAAACAGCACTTAGCACTTCAATAAAAAAAAGTTGAAAAATCGCCTGGCATAGACATTCTGCCAAGCTCAATGGGGGTGCCCAAGAACTTGTTGGGGTTTTGAACGAACAGCACTTGCCGTAGAGCAGCATGCAACGTGACATGTGAACTTATAAAGGACATCTCAGCACACTGACAGTGTCACAGGCATATATGTGTAAAAGACGACTGAGTTGACGATTAATATAACTTGCGGCGCTATTTATTGATAAGTGCAGTGAGCAGACGATGCACTCTCTTGTCTACTCTATGCGCCTATTGGAAGATGGCAACACAAGTTTCGTTCACTGCTAACGCGGTCATCTGCAAACACATCCACCGTTCGCTCTGACAAGTTAATTGGTCTCACTTTTCCCAGAAAGACAACTATGACTTGAAATTTACAGAGGTAGAATCCATCACCTCAACTCTACAGTCGGTAAAAGCTTGAGCTTCATATATACAAGCGCCGATTTTTCCGTTTTTTTTTTTACAGTGACGAAAGCAATGTGGTCATTCTATACCAATGATGTAGATAGATAGATAGATAGAAACTTTATTCAAAAAATGATGGTGGGGATGATTCAGCCGCCTCAGTCCAGGCAGCCGCTGAGGGCCCTGTTGATGTGGGCCGCCAGTTCCCGTTGTTGTTCGAGGCTGACCGCAAGAGCCAGCCACTCCCGGGTGTAAGTGTGTGGTTGTGCCGGGTTATGGGGGCAGTCCCACAGTAAGTGGTCCTGGTCGGAAGGGGTGAGACAGCGGGAACAAAGAGGGAGAGGGTCACCTAAGGAGCGGTGAAATAGGTGAAGTCGAGCGGGTGTGTGAAGTGTGTATGTTTTTGCCTGACGAATGAGTGTTTGCTCACGACGAGTGAGCTGGGTGTGGGGCGGAGGAAAGGTACAACGAGAGGCGAGAAGGTCGGCTAGGGTGGGGAGGGGAGGAGGAGGAACAGGGGCTGTGTCACAAGCGTCAGCAGGGGCCCGGAGGAGCGTTTCGCGGGCAAGCTGATGAGCGCGTTCATTCCTGGCAACACCAGCGTGACCAGGTATCCAGTGGATGTGAAGAGGTCCTCTAACATTGTTGAGGAGAGGAAGTGCAGAAGGGAATGCGAGGCCCTGAGCGAGGTGGGAGCAGGCCGACTTTGAGTCCGTGTAGATGTGGGTGGTACGGCCAGGGGAAGAGTTGTTGGCAGCAGCAAGTGCAATGGCGAGAAGTTCTGCTTCGACCGGGGAAGCGCAGCGCTGCGTTCTCGAGTGTTCAGTGCCGCGTGAAGTGATGTACGCGAATGCACCAAGGGTGTCTTTTAAGGCTGCATCGGTGAATACGTGATGAGATTCGGGATCTCGGGAGATTTTCCTCGTGTAGTATGCCGCACGGAGAAGACGGCGAGTGGGATTTCGATCCCTGTCCATGTGGCGGGGAATTGGTGCCACGGTAATATGTTGGAGAATCGTGTTGTCTAGGGGAGTGGGTTGAGGTCCGGTTGGATGGGGTGTATAGCCGAGTTCGTGCAAGATGAGGCGACCGGTTGGAGTTAGCGAGAGTCGTTGACGCTGATGTATGTGATGAATGTCAATAATGTCGGAGACCGTAGGTAGCACGCCCAGTTGAACCAGTCCAGTGGTGCTAGTGGTTAGGGGGAGCCCGAGGGCGATCTTAGTTGCCTTACGAATAAGAGCGTCGAGCTTGCGTTCTGAAGTACGTGTGAGGGATACGTAGGGAGCTTGATACTGAATGCGGGAAATTATGAGAATGATGTAGACAAAATTGTTGGGAGTGACGTGGGTACACGCATGCATTTTCATCTGTGTGTTATGGCCGGATGACTCACATTATATACGACGTTTTGGGGGAAAGAAGCTGTCCATATTTGCGATGGGCGGCAGAGAAAAGCTCACCGGAGAAAAGCTCACCGAAGATAAGCTCACCAGAGAAAACCTCACCGCAAAACCGGCAGATGCGGAGAAAAGCTCACCGGCCTTTGAGCGGATGCGGAGAAAAGCTCACCGATATTTTTTTAGCTTAGCTTGATTCTGCGTCAAACGTGGCAATTCAACGCAATTCGCTTTCGTAACTTTATTAAAAATATATCCTCCTTTTTGTAATATTCTTGAAGTTCATTGGGCATATTACTAATTCTTTAGAAATTAGTGATCACCTATTTTGTATATTAATGAAGCCGCAAGGGTATAAAATCAGAACATCGTACACCGGTAAAAAAGGCAACAATTTATTGACAGCTGACAGTGCACCGTCGCTAGCTCTGTCAGATAAAGAGGTTTGTTCCTTGCGAGCTCAATGAATAGCGGTGTGTGAACCGGTTCAGCTCCAAATATTGTGTAGTGCCCAATAGATAAGTGGGTGTCTATTGATTAAATAAGTGTCGGCTACGCTGTTTTCTTTCTGTTAATTTTACTAAAAAACTTTAGTTGCGAGAACAGCTTCGTCGTGTCGTATTTGTTGTCTTCCCTCTGTCGTCGTCGTTTGAGCGGTTTTCATAATGTATAACGACCACCAACTCGCCCTATTCGCTGCCTTACAGAAGACTACTTCATATATAGGTCACGAGTAACAACGGTGTGTTGTGAAAGGCTTCCGGACCTGGCCTTCACCTGTCGCCAACGGCAGCAAAGCCTATTGACACGATGGGCCCCGGTGCGTTCTAACGGCGCTAGACAGTCGCGTTCGGATTCCCGAGAGCGACCCTTGAGTCATCGGGCCAGTGGTGGCTTTCAAGAAGGGCTCCAAACACAAAAGGAACGTCTCCCGGAGGCCACGAGACCATCTGTGACTGCCAGCATTCGGAAGGAGAAGCACCGGCGTGCGTGTGTCGGTGTTGGGTTTCAGCAAGGGCGTCGACTCCTTGCATCAGCCACCGAACCGGGCCAGGACGTGAAGGGATAGCATCATCTGCCCTTGGTGAAAGAACACCCGGAAATTGCATCAGCCGCCCCGAACTTCGAACACCACGTGAACACTTGAATGCCGGGGAAGGCTCCTTTCTCACCCCGCGGGCCTTCTCGCTCTGGGAGGGTTATATAACTTGGGCTCGGAGAGCCCGAAGGCGCCGACTGCCGACTGCCGACTGCTGACTGCCGATAGCCGATTAACCAGTCGACCATGTTACTTGTATATTCAATGTTCATAAAAGTTCTACTTCAGTAGCCCTACTCGAGGCCTGTTTCCTCGGGGCCATGCTAGCAGCGAGCCACAGCCCCGACTCTTGGTTCCGCACCTGAGGTCGTCGCCCTCCCAGACGCAACAGGTGCCAGTGTGCAGCTCCGAATGTCATTGGTGGCTCACCGTAGAAGGGCACTATCACACAAAGGGAACGTGTGGAAACACCAGTACGAACGGCTCGAAAACGTGTATAATCGTGGAAGAAAGAAGCCTCGATATCCTATTGACTGTTTTATCCTGTTTTTAAAGGTTAACAAAAGCTTCAAAGAGAGTTTCAGGCACCGCGCTGTTGAGCATGCACTTTTAGATGTTCGGCATTTACAGCTTTGATTTTTAGGTTTTAGGCAGACATCATTAAGTTCTTTTTTTTTAACTTTTGCTTGTTCTTCAAGTTCATAACGTTTTTAGTTAGGTTTTTATTGCCTAGAGAGTAAGCAACAGAAAACACTCGCCCGCAATTATTAATTTGGGAGCAATATACCCAATAAGCTTAACAAAGATTACAAAGAAGGCGATTTCCTTTTTTACAGAGCTGACGAATTTTAATGATAATAAGTTGATATATGTTACGCATTATCCAACAGCCTCCATATAAAAAAAAATGAAAAAATATCGGTGAGCTTTTTTCCGCATACGCTCAATGGCCGGTGAGCTTTTCTCCGCATCCGCCGGTTTTGCGGTGAGCTTTTCTCCGGTGAGCTAATCTCCGGTGAGCTAATCTCCGGTGAGCTTTTCTCCGGTGAGCTTTTCTCCGGTGAGCTTTTCTCCGGTAAGCTTTTCTCCGGGATTCATTTACGATGCATCACTCTATAACTTGAGCATTCCACGGAACTAGTTTGAATGTCGAGGTTATCTTACCGACGCCAGCGCCCGTTGTGTGGTCTCCGTCAGGTTCGGTGGCGCTCTTGCCGTTGGTGACTTCCCAGCCAGACATTTTCCATCTCCTGTTCATGCCAGACTCAAAGTCCATGCTCAAAGGGTCTGAGCACAAAAAAAAAGCAAGAATTAGAAAGGTGAAGACGACGACGGGCTAGTGGCGCGCACGACCATCTCGCGCCGGGCCCTACGTGCTGGCCCGGCCTCCATAAACCGTGTATCTTCTATCATAGTGTCCTGTCCTTTCTGCTGCCGACAGAATCACCCTAACAGCAGTGCGGTTGATCTCGAGAAAGCGTACGCCTGTGAGACGGATTAATGTCCTTTTTACAGTGCCAGATGAATGATCAGATTGAGGGTGTTGCGATCGTTGTCGATTCCGAATCACCCCTTTATCATCCTCTTCTTTGGTTCCTCTTCTTCCTCACAATATGTAGTACAATATACTATCTAGATTTCTGATATGCATTCAAGTTGTCAATGATGAGTGTGCTGCTTCATAATGTTCCTTTACTGAAATGTTTTACACTCTTAAAAATATATTTCACCCCAATTATGTGCAACAAATGTTCCTCGTAGAAACTAGAAATATGCGAATATTGGAATTCTCAAATGCGACTTCAATACGAATATAAAAAATGACTTCGAATATCTAGTTTGTCTAAATTATGTGTGTACCATTAAGAAATAACAAAATAAAATATGCAAATACTTTGTTTATCACCTTCAGAAACAAACATTCTGAGAACAAATTCAAGTAAATGAAACTACTTGACTAGGCAGCGTATAAGCAATGCAACCGCTAACACAGCTATTGGACCTTGAATAGTAATCACTTGTCAACTGTGCATAAAAGCAGGCAAAAGGTGCAACTGATAAGTTAAACAAATTGACAAACGTGAGAGTGTACGAAACTGTACAGGCCTAGGTAGCGTGTAAAAATGCAACCTGTAATGTTGTCAAACAACTGGTAGTAACCTTTTTTTAAAGAAAATAACTAAAATTGACCTTGACTAGCCAGGAAGCTAGATAAAGGATACTAATGCAATCAATGCAAATTATCATGCAATAAATTAGTTGTTCCAGGCATTAAGCAGACGAGCACTTTTCGCTGACAGGTGCTCCAGCAGCAGAAAATACCCTCGCTCCTGCAGCATAAAAGATAAAGTCGGCTAGAAAAGTGCCTCACAATGCAAGCTTGGCAACACGAAAACGGAAATCGCCCCTTTGTCGTGAGCTAATAGGTCCCTTTTGGAGATTCTAACACGCACTGTTTTCGCCAAAACCGTTGCCCGAAAATACATATATTTTACCATCGAAACCAAAAAGAAAAAAAGAAAGACCGCATCCCCACGTGGTGAATTATGTTGATTGGGGCGAAGTTCTGGTGGTGCTGATGATACTGATTTTGTTCATAGGTAGTGCTGGTGGTGCTGATTTTGTTTCGCCTATAAACGTTGAGCCAATGGATGCAAAGTTTAACGCGATTATATACGCATTTCACCGCAGTGCCCTCTCCTGTATAGACGTTGAGCGACTACATGCAACGTTTCATCCATGACCTCTCCAGTTCTTGACTTACTACCCCATCTCAAAACTCCCTACTCCTCCCGCAGTCGTGGCCGAGTGGTTAAAGGGGTACTCCGCCGATTTCTTCATGGTCCCCGATTTGCTTGAAATTTTGCTAAACTCGCCAAACAACATCGCCAAAATAGTCTCCCAAATATTGGGTCAAAATAATTTTTTTTCACGAAGTTATTGAATTTACAATTTTGGTCCTCACCGTGTTTTTCAAACTGAAAGTCTCTACTGGCAACAATGAAAAAGGGGCGTCAGTGGAAGGCAGGTGTTCACTCTTTGAACTGTAGAATTTGTTCCCAACTGATTCGAAGCAGTTTCATGGTGTCAAATGAATGCTTTGGAAGCTCGCTCCAGGACCCGCGCTTCAGCACGGAACAAATGATTGGCATATTCTATTTTTTAGACTGCTCGCCCGACTGGCAAGCTGACCTTCCACTGACGTCACGGCACTGAAAAGGGCGGGTATATTTGAATGTTGGTTCTTGCATCATTTTCATTTGCCGATTTCGCAATAACTATTATGAATTTCACGATACTAAATAGCATACCAGAAGGGGTAAAGGCCAGGGAGTCAGAAAATATAGTTAGTTGAGGTAGCTCAAAAATCGGCGGAGTACCCCTTTAAGGCGATGGACTAGAAATCCATTGGGGTCTCTCCGCACAAGTTTGGATCCTGTCGACTGCGCAAACATTTTTTTTTATAAGAAGACAGATGGGATGGCAATCGATGTGAGCACACACATTGAACAAGGCTAGACCCTAAGGAGCTTCGCCGCTAAAACGAAAAACTCGGTATATGCATGGTGGCTAGCCCCATCGCCATCTTCACCATTTGTTTACATTCATAATTTTGGTATCCCTATCACGCGCATTCCCTTGCATCTACGGATCTGTGCCTGCCGTTTTAAGCTAAAAAAGCAAAACAAATTCCACTTGGAGGCTTTAATTAAACGAAAGGCCATCACGCCGGCGGGAAAAGATAGCAACGAAGCAGCATTGTGTCCTCTTGCAATGCCAGCGACTCGACGAGCTCGCAGTGTTGTTTGGAAGACGACCCTCCCAGAGGCGACGGTCACTAACTCGTACAAATACAGAAAGCACGGTCTTCAAACCGTTTCAGACGAAAGCAAGGATTACCTCTGGGGACCATCGCCGGACTCCGCAACGGCGACTGACGCACGATATTATATTTGTGCTTGAGTGCGTTTCATAAAATCTCTTCTGTGAAACATACGTTCAACCTTCATTCTTTTACCTGCACGGTAGAATCGGCAGCAATTTATTTTTTGAATATCCGGGAGCTAAATCTGCCTCAGTGTTACACTTGGGAGCAGGTTAGAGTCGTGCAAAACGATAGTTCCACGAATATCGTAAAACGGTAAGGATTTATAGATAAATGGATACAAATCCCGTACTTTTAGACGGCTAAATATTGAGGGCATGTGCTGCGCGCGGATTACTCGCTATTTGATTTAATATTCGTACATAGCTCGAATATTCAAATAAAACCGAATATTCAATAATTTCCAAATATGCAGTCGTCGAATCGAGTACTAATCGAATAAGAAAAATATTGGATTTGTATTTAAATCTCGAATACTCTCATATTCCCAGTAAAAACACAAGTGGCCTAGAAAAGCTGAATGTCGTATTCTCTGTCGTAGTTGCAGCTTGTTTGCGAAGGTTTTGTCGATGCGTCTTTGCGAGGTATGGGAATGTTTTCTGTAAGTATGGACCCTGACTGCAAAACTTTTAAACAAGGGGTTATATATTTCTTGTTCGATTTGTTGACGAAAATATTGACACTTGCCCTGAAATGAACGGGGATATTCTACAGGAACCTGATAGGTTGGTTAGAATAATTACAAAAAAAAAGAGAGGTCCTTACACGCCCTAATTGAAAAACCAACGTTTCGCGGCTTTCTCTTCGGGGGTGACTGTGGCGACGGTTGTGAGGAGCATAAGTTTCGGGCTCATCTTCTTTTATTGTGGTTAATTCTTTTATGGAGCTGGTGACGCCTCGAAGCCCACAAAAGCAGGTGGATGGCCAAGCACCGATGGACGTATTTGTTTTCTGGCGTAGATGATATGTGCCATTATTCCGAGGATAGTCTCGTCATGGTTGACTTCAACATTGTGAATGCGGGCATTGTTAAAATCAATACGGCGGTCCTTGGCGTCGCAGTGCTCAGCAAACGAGCTGTGCTCGTGTTTGAACTTGCGAACAATTTAGAACTAGGTTGGGTGTCCCCCTTTTACATTTTTTTTTCTCAATGTTTGCATATTTTGTGGTCATAATACATATAAGCGGGCTTTTCGATGCGGGTTTTCTGTCCATACAATAATAAAGGTAGGACTTATTGTACCACTCTATTTCTGCAAACGGACATTTGTTATAGGAGGGTGTGACCTACTATATTGTGGTGTAACTTATAGACAATAAATACTGGTATACGATGAAATAGTTTTATTGTTGGCATTTACCGAACTTAAGATATTTAAAGGTTTAAACCACTTCCCCTTTTTTTTTTGAGTAGGTAATGATTGGTGTACCACTGCACATGGCGCTTCAGCAGATTTGTAGTACTCTGTGCATTTTTTTGTTGCCCGGCACACAATGTTGCTGAGATTAAACGTTTCTAGTGTCAGTAAGGAGTGACGGCATTCTTGGGGCAATTCAAAAACGTAGCAGGGTTGTGAAAACATGAAGCTGCTATGAACAGGATGAAGAACAGAACGTTTTAAAACAGAGCAAGCAGACGTTCTGAAGATAACTAGAGACCTACCAATAGTCATTAATAACGAGTTTGTTTACAGAGAAAAGTATGGGAAGGGGCAAATAAGGCTACTGTAAAATCTCGTAATAGCACCAACCTAAAAGTGAGACAAATTTTGATAATCATGAGGTGAACTATAGGGTATGGGAAAAAAATCATGAAAAATTACTGGAAAACAGAGGGGCACCCGCTACAAACGATGTGACAGAGACACTGACACCGTGGGCCTCTGAGACGGCAAATTCGCCTTCTCCAACACGATAAACACGCGGGAATTCGCTACGAACTCCTGTGTCACACGAAAGAATTCAGCGGACTGCAGATGCCGCAGGTTCCAGTTTCACAATGCGATAAACACGCGGACACCGGCTAGAAATTTGTGGGCCATGGGAGCCGATATCGCGTGCGCCAATCGCGAAACCTGTTTTATTACAAAAATTTAAAAATCGCAACACAACAGGTTTAAATGACCAACAAAAGTTTCTTAAATTCTTCAAAAATAAAAACATATTGTAACGAAATTTTGATAGTCGCATTCTAAATGTTCTCAAACATATATATGACAAATTTGGTGCCAATAGAATAAAACTAATAAGAAATATTCTTCTACGCAAAGTGGGAATATGCCCAGAATTGCATTAACAACAAAATTCGTTCGAATGTTACCATAGCCGTGTAGCGATACTGCTTCGCGGTAAAAAAAGTTTTTTTTCTTTTTTTTTGTGATTTCCTTCCTGTGCGAAATAAGGCTACAAAGGACTGCGATGGAGAGGAGACAAAATATATGCCGTTCGGGGTTGCCGGCAGATCTTCGAATGTGTAATTAACTAAGTTTGCGATCGTAACCGGTCCGTATTATTTTTTACACAAAATACAAAAATTAAACAATGATAAGACGCCATAAACCCCAAAATCGGCTTTCTAAGAAAACATATCGCCATTTTCAACCTTGTGGTTCAATCAACATAATATTTTAAGCATATAATACAATTCATAGTAATGAATTACTCTTTAAGTTCATTAGACAGTATTTAAATGATACGATGACGTCAAATCATATTAATTTTAATTCCACAAATTCAGTCTGTCCTACAAACCCGATCCCCAGCAACAATTAAGCGTCCTCACATACCTTTTACGACTTTACAGGTCTCGAAAAGGAACTGGTTGAGGGCAATGACGCCAGGGTTGCCGCCTGGCAGGACGGCCTCAAACACGAGCTGCAAATAACAGTAGACCCTATTGGAAAAACGTACAAGAAACAAACCTGCTGCTTGTACAGTTCTGGTATGACACCAACATAATTTCTTTGTGTTACGCATGCAGCTAGTTTGGTTTGGCGTTCTGCATAACTGGAGATACCGGCACCGCTATGGGAGGCTCCGGGTCTGTCTATACTGGCAGCCACTTTGCTTGCCGATATGATTCGGTGTGGCTGGTATAATTTTGCGTCCGATGACGTAGGCGACTGCCGTCTTTCCAACAAAACGCTTATACCACAGGACCACCGGTATAGCCAAATTATACATGCAGAAAGACGACCGCCATCTTCCAACTAAAACGTCCATCGTTCACCACCGCTATCGTTACATACACCATACATGTCGAAAAAGAACATAAGGCACGTTTACACGAAGGCGACTTAGTCGCATTGAATCCAGTTGCCGCATTCAATATGCGGTCATGTAAACGGCACAATGCGCAAAGCGCATCGCATTTTGGAACGGGGAGGATTATCGGAAGGTGCTCGCTGCGGGAGCGAGTGAACAGCTGAGAACATGGCGGCGGCCAACCTCGTCGGCGGCGCGGAGAGCGGTCCCGCAATTTTTTTCCCGAGAACGCAAGCTTTTATTGCGATCATAAGTAAGCGGAATATAGCGGAGCTGCTCGGTGAGGGTGGCCCCGTCCAAACCTTTGCGAAGTACGACTTGCGCGTCCGAAGGGGTCACAAAGGCTTCGGTGCAAGCACGAATGACACCGAGAGCTCCGAGCACTGTAGAGCACTGCATGGTAGCGCAGAACGAGCAGCTCCTACCTCGGTGCAGTTCCTGGCTCCGTAAGAGCCTCTCGGACTCGGGGTCCGGTTGGTCCGGTCGCGATCGGCGAGGTCTAGCGCGCCGAAACGCGGAGGCTTCCTCAAAGCGTGCACACACACGTCGCCTCTCGTTCAGAGTGAACCGGCGGCCCGGCCTGGAGTCCTCGACGCCTTCCGTCTCCCAACTTCTTCCACAGCACCGAGGACAGCGGGCACGATCTTTACGTTCACTGAATGCGTCGAAAGGCCTCCACGTGCGATGCACCGGAAAACGTGGTGCGGCTGGTGCCGGAACGGAACTGCATAACTTCGAGCTTTGAGTCAACGCGCACGGCAACAAACCGATCGTGACACCAAGCCGCGGATACCGCATCGCCGGTCGACAGCGGCAAATGGCCCGTTGCTCGTATCGTGGGCCGTGACTCGTTCTCGGCCAACTTGGCGTCTTTTCGTGGCCCCTCGCGTCGTCGCAACCAGCCACAAACCTGACAAACCCACCAGCCCGAAACCGTAGCGACCGTAGCCTGCGTTGGAGAAAACCGAAACCGAAACTTAAAGCTTCCGCCCAGTGGCTTCCGCTGCCGCGGCTTTTCTAACTTTGCGGCTTCCACTTCCGGTCGTCGCGGAGATGGCGAAGGTAGAGCGGTGTGGGGGGTCGTTGGCTCGTTTACGAATACGGGACAGATGTTTTGCGGTCCGTTTCTACTGCGTCTCTGGCTCTCAACTGGACGGCGCCTCTCATAGTTCAACCAGGCGTGGTCAGCCTGCGTCAGGCCGGCTCGGCTCGTCCGATCGCCGGACCGCAGGCGACTTCCAAGTACGGCCGTTAGGCCTAGGATCCGAAGGCCTAGGATCCGTGAAGCGGTAAGTGAATCTCGTTTCGTTTTCGTTCTACTTTTAAATTACGTTAGGTGCGCTACAGTATAAGCATGCGTGCCAAGTGTTCGTGACAATTTTGAACTAGAATAATTGTGCTTCATTGCGGTCATTTGCTGAAAATGTAAATCGAGCAATGAACGAGGAGCCACGCTTGAAAACGGTGTATGTACGATGTTAACTTCTACCTGGGCGGCTAAAAAAAAAGAAAAAGTCAAGACTGGTTACGGTTGGATGTGAGGCTGGTCCCAATGCAATGGTAAGCACTTAGAGCGCCTTTCTGAACGGCATGTTAGCAATATAGCGATCAACGAGACGAGCGACGGCGAGAAGCTACGAGTGCCGCTGCCGAGCGCCGAAGATTTCTCACTCGCGCTGCTTGCGCCGCTCGGTTCTTGGGCTTCTAGAAAACGTCGCTCATCGCCTTGGTCGCTCGCACCAATCGCTTTCATAATGTGTGTCTCGTCGCGCGGCTGACTGCCGTGTTTATTCAAATACAAATCGACCTTTTCTTTTTTTTTTTTTTTTTCTCTCGGAAATTGTGACTGAAGAATTTCGACACCTACATTCGCGACCAAATTTTGCGACCCTACCGGAGGTATGAAGCTATCGAGTCACCGAGCCGGCGTTGCCGTAGAGCCGCGCCACTTCTTGTTTCAAAAAGCTTTTGGTTGCCGAAATGGCTCGCCGCCCGCGGTGCGCGTCGGATTTTGACATCGCGCCTCTAGCATTTCCCTTGCTGGGCAACGGGTAAGGAGAGGAACGCGATGCGCCATGCACTTTACCCTCCATCCTCGCAAACGCGCACAAAAAAAAAAAAATGTTATTTTTGTTAGTTGCTTGAGGCGGCTCGGCTCGCGTGTTGCTCATGGCGACAGGACGGCTTTGCTTGCGTCTTTGTAGTTTGTGTTCCGTCGCTTCGCACCTTTTTTCGTTTCTTGTCATTTTACAATGGTGTCAGTGAAGTATTGCTGCGAATTTGCGAGGATGTCTACCCAGCTGACGAAGCTTCGGACGATGATAACATGTCCAGAAGTTCTGACGGTGATGAAGTTTTTGGCATCGCCCCGTGATTTAGCTGAGAGTGATGTAAATAAAGGTTTTTTTCTTTCTTTTGCCCAAAATTTCCCCAGTTCTTAAAAATAAAAAAAGGTCAACCTATATTTGAATTTTTCTTTTTTTGTTCTTGGTGGATCCAATAAATAGAGTTCGTCCTATTTTCGAGTAAATACGGTAACTTTAATTTTTATTTTGGGTTACGTCGGACGCAACTCGAATGCTTGACAGTTACGTTGGGCGTAACTTTAATTTTTATTTCGGGTTCCGTCGGACGTAACGTTAGACACTCCGTTACACTTAAGGAAAATAGGAGCTGCAGGTTCATCATATAAACCAACCATTTGTGCTTAATTAAGATGCATCACTGACCTCAAAAAAAAAAAATACTGCTATCCTAGAGTTTATGCTATAGGAATGTAGCGCTTCAGATAAATTTGTTAATTTTTACTTTTAGTCCCTGCCCCCTCCAGATACAACATCTGGCCTAAAGCAGTGTTCCGGATCTCCTTCCAAGACCTCAGGCGGGTCGTCATTCAATCCATGAGTCGGCGGCGTCTTATGGGCGTGTTGCTGGTGCTTACTGGATGGTGCTACCGAGGGAAAAGTGGTCATGCTATGGAAAGGCAAGTATGGCCGCCGTAAGTATACATATTGTCTTTACCTTTGCTCGAATTCACTTTTAAGAAATGCACAGTTCGCATGTGTGCATCTCTCAATGTTCCCACAGTCGGCTGTTTTTTTTTTTTGGCTTTTTTTTGAGTGCTCCAAGTCTGTCAGCGCTAGTTTCTCTAGATCATGCAAATGGGATGCAACACTAAACCACATATGCTCTCGCAACAAACAGTGCTGTACAGAAGCACAGTGGAATTTACTCTAGCTTTATAATGCAGCACAAAATAGTTGACTCCAAGTATAGCTACTTTTGTGACTCCGTTTAACCAAAAGCTCTGCCGAAACAAACTTGCCGCCTTATAGGTAGTGCAGAAGAACCTCGCGTGCCTAACCTGGAGAAGGGCATTTTTTTTCATGAGTCAATTTTTTCTTAAACCAATGCCTTCAGTCTCCTTGAAATGTTAACATCATGTGACACACGGAAGAACAGTAAACTCTTTAATGTTGGCGAACCTTTAATTTTCGCGCCCTTTAATTTTGCAGAATTCAGTGGCTGCGATTATGTCCTCTGTGACCGATTCGAGAAGAAATAGGGGCCACGAAGATAAGGGGGTTTTACTGTACATCGGAGGAAAGAGGAAGTCACTTATGTTTGTATGCAGGAGTAAAACCAACAACAACAACAATCATGGTGTCGACATTTTGTAAGCCTATCTGTGTCTATTAAATGATATCAACTTTGTTTTAGTTCGTTAAACATTGTTGCCTGTACATTGTGAGATGTCGTCTTCAACATGAGCAGTGGTTTTCTTCTCAAGCAGGCAGCATGGACGCGTGCCGCAGCACAACATAGTTCATTTGCAGGTGGTACCGCAGGTTGAAGGATGGTTGGCACAATATGGGGGAATCACAATTCAATGTTCTACCTCGGGCGTAGACAAGATTTGCTTATTCTAAATCATTTTGTCTAAAAATCTGGGATTTGCGATGAATGTACCCGCATGGCTGGAAGGGCCAGACAAGCCTTGTGAGCGCTTCATTTTCTAGCGTCTCAGTCCTGAACCCACTCACGCACCACATGTGTAGATGTTCCGATAGGTGGGAGGACTTATTTGGAAAATGGTGAATGGCAACTGTTATCTTTATCAGACTTCTGTATTATGGTCAAAGTTGGACTGCATATTTGCAATACTTTTTCTCACTTAAAAATATGTCATACTAAAATATGTAGAATAGCCGATGACAAAAAGAGAATGGCTGGGCGTCCTCCAGCACGTGCTTGTGCTTTTCACCCCACTTTGGACAGATGTGCTTGCTCCAGGCTCACGAGGCGCTGAAACGTCATCGAAGGTAGCAGACGGGCTGGTGGTGGAACAACGGAGACTTCTCCCTGCCTTTCTCATGCTGCCAGTGAGCGTGTACCTCTATACTCTAACTTAGCTTAACCTGCACAGAGCTGAGGAGAATAGGCTTGGCGAGTGCCCTTACTGCATATGCATTTGTACAGCTGAGGCACTTTCTGAATCAAGAACATTGTGTATCTTACCTTCAAAAACACATCATTTTGGGGGTGCAAAAGGAATTGTAAGGCATATCTTTGTTTGTATTGTCCTATTACGCATCACAGGCACGTAGCCA